AGCAATACAAGTCGACGATTCATCCCAGGGAAGTATCAGCGAACACGGTGACAGACATGAATTGATAAAGACGATAGGATCTCGCTATGGCGGGATGCCTCACTAGATGAGCAAAACGAGAGAGAAGTGCCGGCGGAAAATGTCAGGAGCGGAAGTGTGATTCGAGGAGAAGGCGTTGTGGAGGGTGAGAGATGGAAGTCTAGTCGAGAATTGAACATTTGGGTCTTTACGTCGATTAAGATATCTGCAAAAGAGAAAACGTAGCGGGGCGCCCAAAATTACGGATAAAGCGCCACGATGGTGAAGGTGCCGGCCGCAGAATGGCGGGCCTTGCTAGGTAGCAGCGACGCTCAAGTAGCAGCGTAAGCCCACCTCTGACCGCTCGAGACGTGCTTTGCTTCGATGTTTCCAAGCTGACTCTCCACTCCCACATCCTCCTCTCCAATTTCTTCTCCCGTAAGGTCTTCCCAAGCGTGCCAGCTGTCCCTCTTGCCAGGTGCTCGGACGGCGTAGTCCTTGTCGATGAGCTTCCTGCTAAGGTGCAGCAGCTCGCTCGGGTTGCGACCATGGCCCATACCCCAGCGAGATTCCGAAGCCTGTGAAGCACGCCTCTTCTCGCCACCGGCACCGTCCGTGAGGCGCTCCATGGGAATCTCCTTGTCTGACGAAGTGCCCGAGCCGCCGGATGCGATCCGCTGCGAGGTGCTGCTGTAAGAGTCCTGGTGCGCTTTGGAGCGCGCCTCCCGCAAGGCTTCCGCTCGCTCGTGGTCGTACACTCTACCCACTGCGCCGAGCTTGCCAAAGGTCTCGGTCAATACTTGGATGACGAGTAAGGCGGCGTATGTGCCGAGGAAGCCAACGCTGGTCCAGCCTTCGTGCAAAGGAAAGAGAGCGAATGCGATGGCGAGACCAAAGCGCTGGGCGATACGCCACCAGTGGGGAACGAGCGATGAGCCGTAGACGTCGAGCGAGCCGTGGAGCAGGCCGAGCAGACCAAAGCAGACCTGTTGACGCAGCGCACTACAGATCAGCGACGGACGCGGGGTGGGGTGCACGGCAACAACGCGAGCACTCACCATGACGGTAGACATTGATCCAGCAAAGAACCACAAGAAGCCCTGCTCGACTTCGTGCTCGCCCACCAGCTTGGCCAGCGCCGAAGCCAGCAAGATCAAAGCAGCGCAAAGAGGGAAGTGCACATGAGTCCAAGAAATGGAGTGCAGCCAATGCCGCCTGAGGGCGTGGACGAAGGTGCGACTGGCATCCGCATCGAAGTAGAGCCAGATGATGCTGAAAGCGATCGTGATTGCAAGAGCGGATCGCCAGAATTTGTCATGTGGTCCAATGTCTCCGCCCGATGCCGTGTATGAGGAGACGATGAGGATCTCTCCGGTGACCAAGATGACAAAGAGTGTCATGCGCTCCATCAGATGCTCGAGCGATAGCGCGGGCTACATGCATGGTGATGAATAGCGTCAGCCAGGAGCTTCGGGTCGACGAGGCAGTAATTTCGACTCACGATGAAGGTCTTCTTGCCGGCGTGTTTGGCCTTGCCGTGCGCCATCTGTAGCGCAGCAGCAACGACGTATCGACTGCTGAGTTCTGCCACGACACCGGCGCACGAAAAGCCGAGGATAAGACGTGGCGAGGTGACGAACATCAGCGGCAAGTAGATGAAGGCGATAAAGACGAGAGAGATGGTGTTGAGCCACATTGCCTTTCTGAAGCGAGGCAGCAGCAGCCCGTAGACGAAGAGCAAAGCAAGACGGAAGAGCTTTGCCACGAGGTAGAAGCCGATGGCTGCTTGAAGAGCCTTGTGATAGCCTTCTGCAAACCAGTACTGGGAATTGCCGATCTGTTCGACGATTTCGAGTTCGGGCCCTTCACCACCACCGGCGCGGGCGAGCAAATTGATGCCGCCACGAACTGCAAAATCGACCATCCGCCTTTCGACTGAGTGCGTCTCGCCTCCATCGCCACCTGCCGAGCCTGGCGCCTCGATGACCACGCCGCTTCCTTCGCTTTGCCCATCATGACTCGCTTCACCGCCAGTGGCCGACTCTCCGTGACCAGCTTCGGATCCGTGATATGGTTCGATCTTGACACCAGTTGCGTTGGCAGCGTAGCCTGACAACAGGATCATGATGAGCAAAATGTAGACTCGTTGCCAGACGTCGTCGGTACCACTGGTGTTGATGTATGCTCGCGTGTCGGTCCATATGCTCCAGGCTGGAAAGAATGCCAGCACGAACTGCGCGATGGAGGTCACAAGGTGAGTCTAGAGACTCGTTTGCACCGCAGGCAGGTCGCTCACCTTTAGGACATTAAGACCATTGGCGTGCTCGGCAGCACCATCAGCTAGCGCATGGCACACGCCAACAAAAACAAGATCGAAGAAAAGCTCGAAGCGAGAGGGCTGAGGTAGAGGTCAGAGTTCCCAAGCCCGTCAGCTTTACAGTAAAATGGGACGCTCAGCAGGTCTGGACGCACCTCACGTTCATCGCACTCGCGATACAGCTGACCATCGTAGAGCCACTGGCGGACGAGAGGTCGCTTGAACAAGTGACTCATTCGAATTGGTACCTTTTCATTGATATCGTCCTGCATTCGGAGCAAGGTGTTGCAAAATGGATCAGCCCAGCCCGAAAGTCAACAGAGTGCCTTTGACGCTAATCTTCATTGGCACTGCGCGACTCACGATGTGGTCCTTGGCATCTCCGTCTTTCTTTCCGTGCGCCATGTCAAAGACGGACTGCTTGCTCTGATCCACAGTCATTTGTTGGGCGAGACCATGACGCGCGCCCGAGCCGACCAGGTGCTGCTGACTCGATGCAGCCTCGCCTCCGTAAGCAAACTGGGTGTTGTGACTTCCAACGCTGGGTCTGTACCCATGGCTGGTAGCAGCAGAGGCTGGGACTCCACTGTGCTCAGGGTAATGTTGTCCCCCCATCAAAGGACTCTTCTGCGCCTGATTATCACCTGCTTCTACCGCGTCCTCTTCTTGTTCCTGCATCACTTCGTTCTGAACAGGTAGCTGTGTAGGTCTCCTGAGACCGCCCGATTGCTGTGGCTGTTGAGCCGAGGTACCATGAGAGGATCTGTGCGTGGGAGAGCGGCCAAGATTGACATGGTGCCATCCACCACTCGCCCTTCGATTGTGACCATCATCGTCGTAGCTGGGATGATGATGATGAGAGGAGCGATGCGAAGGGTGGTGTCCACCATGACCAGATGCCTCGGCTGGATTCTCCTCGTCTGGCTCTTGTGCCATAGCCCCACCATGAGCCCAGAGTCCATACGACTGGTTGGGATCCTCGATGATCGGGCTCTCCGGTTGGGATTCGCCAGTCGCTTGCCGCGTCGGCTGCCTTAGAGTTGATCGTCTTCTGTAGGCCGACATGCTGGATGTATGCGTTTGCTGCAGATGGTGTGAGGGTGCGGATAATCGCGCGAGACCTGGTCAACAGGCTCGATGTGTACTCTTTGGACGAAATGCTCAAAGAGCTTGTGCGTAGGGAGGATGAGAGCCCCTCACTTCTAGCCAGGAAGACTGATCGTCAGTCGGTGGTTATGGACCAGTTCCGCAGGCCCGTGGACAAGTGAATGCGTGCAGCGCTGCTCTGTCGTCCACAGGTGCTGGGTGTGATTGTACCAGCTG